CAATCAAACTCTTTGTAGACAGTAAAGATGTTATCACTTCTCATTTTTGTTTTAGAATAGAAAGGCCATTGTGACAAGACTGAGGGAGTAGAGAGGATGATAACTGCATTTCAGTGCTCTAAGGTAAGGATTGCTCTGCTTATCCTCCTGGAGGATTTTATATGGACCAAATGTTATGTTACTGTTGTTCTCCATACTCACTACGACAAGGACTCCAGACTTTTTTCTAACAACATCTATCCACCATTTTCTTAGGAATACTATATCATACTGGATTTATTTCTTAGATCCATCTCAAGAAGTATTTTGTGTTTTCACATCTCATATTTCAACCACTTAAGTCTGTTTAGTTGATATGATTGCAGACTACATTTATAGTAGCTTTCAAAAGCTTAATTTAAATCATTAAGTATGATGAATTCAAAAAGTAGCCTTTCATCATCCCAGTGTTTCTCCTCCTTAGCATAATTATTCCATCTCCTCTTTTCTGACTACCCTCAACTCATCACATCTATATATATCCACTTTGCACAGTCCCTGGCCTCAAAGCTGAAGGATTTTTCCTGCTCCTTGGATCACACCAGAAGAGGCTGTGGTGGTGAGGAAGGGGTGTGGGGCAGGGGCTGCTGGAGAAGGTGCCACTGGTCATCCTACCCTGGGCCAGCACATGGACATTTCCCTGGGGATCAGGGAAATTACATGGAGTAATATATGTGTGTACAGATATATTCATACATATATGTATGCCTGCGTATAGGAATACACATATACGGCATGTATGTGCAGTGTATTTGTGTGCACAAAATAAAGGTATACACAAATAAATTCATGTTTAGATGCATATGTATATGCACGTATACACAAATAAAAGCATGTATATATATATATATATACACATGCGTATATACATGTGTATATATATATATATATACATGTAAATATCCATGATGTGGTTATCAGTGTACCCACACATAAGGTGGGTGCCCTCCTGGGCTTCTGCGCCCACCATGGTACATGCTGCCCTACTCCTCGTGCACCGGGTGCAAACTTTGTACCCCCCATCCCTGCACTCTTGGGCTCCAAATCCACAGATTATCAACCCAAGGGGGGATTTCCAGCCCAGATGCCCCTGCCTCGTGCTGGAGCTGTGTCCCAGCTCTCCTTAGCACACACAGGTGGGTGCGCGGCACAAGACCCTTCAGGTTATAAAGACGACTTTGGCCCCTTTAGCCGTTATCCCGGGATATTAGCACACGGTAAGCGCCCAGCCGGGGGCCGCGCTCGCCCCAGGGACGAGCTCGCCTTTGTTTCTGCGCGCGGGAGGCGGGCGGCGCAACGGGAACTGCGGCGGCCCCGGCACCGCCGC